TCGTCGTCGTCGTCGTCGTCGTCGTCGTCGTCGTCGTCGTCGCCCGCGGTCGCAACCCGCGGTCGCAGGTCGCAGCCTCCCCGAGCTCGAGCGCCCCGCCTGGCCCTGAGCCCAGACCCTGGACGTCGTGCTTTGTAAACAGCGTGACCCCTGGAGGTCTCGACCTGTTCCCCAGGACCGGCTTCTTATCCCGAGTCGTTGTGGGGCGCGAACTACGGGGCGATGATGGGGGGGAAGAAAAGGTGCCCCTTTCGGGCACCAAAAGCCCTTTTCTGGGCCCTGAAAGGCCACTTTCGGGGCCCGTGCAGGGCCCCTTTTCTGCAGCCCTCGCGGCCCCCCCATGCATCGCACCCCCATTGATTCGCGTCCAGGTGTTTGGGCGGCCCTGGAGGCCGGCCGAAAGCAGCCAAACGACTGTCCGTCGCGGTTCTGCTCCCAGCGCGAGGGGGCGTCTGGGATGCGGCCCACCGCCCGAGGCCCCCAGCCGCCACCAGCGCCGCAGCATCCCCGGCGGGGCCCGCCCCAGAGGACAGGGGAAAGACCCGGCCAGGCGAGACCGGGCCAGGCTGCACTCGGCCAGAGCTGACTGAGCTATGGCCTTAGGAGGCAACTACTGGGAGGTCTTCGTTGGGAAAATGTAAGAGGATTGAGCCCCACTGGGGGGCTGTTATGCCGGAGTGGGCCTCGGATTCAGCCAGATTAAACGGGATCAAGCAGGATGGAGCCGGATGAAGCGGGATTAAGCCGGTCACCCCGGATTAAATCGGATTTCGGACCAGGGCCAAAACAGAATTTGACCTCCCAGGAGTTGCATCCGAATCGGCCCAGGCCGAGTTGCCGAGATCTCAGCCTGGCCGAGGTCCGCCGGCCGAGCCCAGGCCTGGCCGAGGCCAGCTGGCCGAGGCCAGCCGGGCCGAGGTCAGCGGGGCCGAGCTCTGTCTGGCCGAAGTCAGCAGGCCGCACGCAGAGAGGCCTGCTGACTTCCGCTTTGTCAGAGCGGGTGCCGTCAGCCGGAGATGTCCCTCGGCCACGCAGTGGCCGATGTCCAGCCTGGCCAGGCTTTGCCTGGCCGAGCTCCGCTGCTGCCGCCGGGGTCCGCCCCAGCGGCGGAGGGCCCCCGCGGGCAGCGGGCTCTGCCCGTCCTCGGTGCGCGCCTGCCGCGCGGGCGGCCCGCCCCACGCGGCTGGCGCGCGGCTGGGCGGCGGCGCCCGGGCCGCCGCGGGCGGGCGGCGGAGGGGCTGGCGAGCGGCGGGCGAGCGGGCGGCGGGCGGCGGGCGGCGGCGCCAGAGAGGGGCCCCGAGAGCGGCCCCAGAAGGGGGGGCCTCGGAGGGGCCTGAGAGAGGCTGGCGGGCGGCGGAGCGGCTGGCGGGCGAGAGGGCGGCGGGCGAAGAGTGCCACTCAAAAGACCCAGCGCTTCCTAACTGCACGTATCACGCCAGCCTTCGTGCAGTTGCGGAGTCATGGGGGAAGTGTTCGCCCGGAGTCATGGGGGAATTTTTCGCCCGGGTCTCTGTCTCCCGTTTCCCAGCCTTTTCGGGGGGGTCGGCATGAGTCCGCCGAGGACGATGGCGTTGCTGAGCTGCACCTAGCGCTTGGGAAAAGTCAGATTCAAAGAGGGCGGCGCCACGAGGTGCCCCGAGAAGGCCCCAAGAAAGCCCCGAGAGGGCCCCCACAAGGGCCCCCAGAGGGGCCTGAGAGAGGCTCAAGCACCCACTGGCCTGCGAGCCGCAGCCGAGGGCTTTAACACCATCTGGCCTGCGAGCCGTAGCCCCTGACCCAGACCGAAGGGATAACAAACCTCTGATGGCCGCGCCAGGCCGCCTTCGCGGACGGGTGCGCGCAAGGCGACGACGCTGCAGTGCAGAGAGGGGGAGGAGGAGGAGGAGGAGGAGGAGGAGGAGGAGGAGGAGGAGGAGGAGGAGGAGGAGGAGGACGAGGAGGAGGAGGAGAAGAGGAGGAGGAGGAAGGACTTTCGACCAATACATGATGGGTCAGACCTTACGGAAATCAACCATCAGTCTACTTGCCGTGGGAACACCTGGACTCACAGCACGTATCTTCTCGCTCCCGAACAGGGCGCGGCAGTCCGCCACGAGCCTAACAAGACGCCCCACACCGCTCTTTGGTCGCGAGACGCCCCACACACACACACACACACACACACACACACACACACACACACACACACACACACACACACGCACACACACACACACACACACACACACACACACACACAAACACACACACACACACACAACAAAAAAAAACTAGATTCCTCTGTCCCCCCCCAAGCGACCGCCAAACGAATCCACGTGGCCCCGAGATGATCCCCTGAGGCAGCGCCAGGGCCGCCCAAAACAGCGGCCAGCAAAATGGGCCCAAGACGCCTCTGGGGCAGCCGAGGAGGCCCGAGTCGAAGCCGCCCGCTGGACGGCCCCAGGGCCCTCCCAAAGGTTGCCCCAGGGCTGCCCCGAAGGCGAGGGCAGCAGCCGCTTCGATGCAACGCTGGCACGGTGGCGGGGCTCGCGGACAACTGGATCCTGCGCGAATCGCACGGTTCCCAAACAGCCGGTGGCGGGGTCACCTGCCACGTCTCAGCTGCCTTCCATGCACTTTTGGGCCCAACCCCGATTGCGAAAATCCAAACTGCCGCAGGGGAAGTGGATGCCACGAGTCTGGGAAAGTGAAGGGCCAACACGGCTTGATTCGAAACTGCTTGTTCCAAAATGGCGATGGAAAGATGGGGCGGGACTCCCCACACCTCAGAAGGCAACTGGAGGCCTTGGGAGCGCCATCGACGGACCCTGCGCACTTGGATCCCACAAAGCCCAATACAGCAGCTCTGAGGAGAGACACCGAGCCCGATGCTTTTGAGGCAGGCAGTGCTTGCTCTGAGGGCCCCCACACTTGTTTTCTCAGGCGGCGCGCACAGGGGGGCAGGAGGCTGCCCTGCACCTGCAGGCACGGCCCGCGCCTTCCAAGAAGCAGGAGTGCTTCTGAGAAGTCTTCCCCCCTCCCCTATGCCCCCCTTCTGCGAGTGGCCGATGTCTTCCCCCATTGCTCAGGACTGCCGGGTTCTCGGCGCGTGCCAAACAGTTCGGGTGCTGCTAGAAGTGCCCCTGGCCCAAGGTGCACCCCCAGGACCTCCAAACGGAGGCCCGCCAGGCCTCCAGAGAGCACCCCCACACGAGGCCCAGAGGGCCCCCGGGGCCCCGAGATGGAGCGCAGAGCTGGGGGGGGGGGCACCCACCCTGGGCCAGGGGCACCTCCCGCAACCCCCGAGCAGTGGCCGCCGCGTGGGCGCCCCGTGCGCTGGCCTGGCCGTCCTGGTGCTCCGCCGGAGCCGGGGCCGCGGGCGCCTCGTGGGCACCCCCCGCGCGCTGGCCGAGGCTCTGCCGGGCTCTGCCGGCCGGTGCCCGGCCGCGGGCGCCTCGTGGGCGCACCGCGCCCTCCGGCGGGGGCGCGGCGTGCACCACGCGGCCTACGCCACGCAGCCGCCGCCACGCAGCCTGCACCGCACAGCTCATGCCACGGAGCCTGCACCAGCTCGGCCTGCGCCACACGGCATGCACCCCGCACACGGCTGTGCATGCCAAGGGGTGCAGGAGGGCGTGATGATGTGGGGTCCACGCCGGCAAGCACAGCACAGAAGACAGCCTATGGGACTGTGGCGACGAGCCGCCAGGGCGTCATCCTGGCGTCCCGCCCTGCGCACTGGCAGAGACTCCCGCCCAAGACTCCGTCAGACCTCCCGGCAGGCTCTCCAGGGAGGCCTGGGGGCCCGCCGCGCCAGGCCGCAGCGGAACACACTGGAGGACGTCTGGCCCCTGCTGCGCGCCAGGCCGCAGCGGAACACACTGGAGGACGTCTGGCCCCTGCTGCTCCTGAGAGCCATCTGGGGTTTGGCCCATCCGACCCTGAGATCTGAGCGACGATCAAAGAAGGGTCCTACGCGAGATGACATAGTGGCCTTACGCGGTGGCTTACGCGGGCCGCCCGCGCGGCACGCCACCGTGGAGAAGAGGGCGCTTACGCGCGGCCTTGCGCGAGCAGCTTACGCGCGAATGTCGGCGCAGTCGAACCCGTTTTTTTGCGTCCATCATCTGTGGTCTGGCCCACCCGACCCTGAGATCTGAGCGTCGCAAATTTTCGCGCCGGGCGCTTTTTCGCCTGAGCCTGAGCCCTGAGACCCTCACGTATCGATCCGGCTCGAGGGGTGCCGCAAAAGGATAGCGTCGAGAGCTCCAGTCATGATCTCTCGTGATGCAGCAACTCTTTCGCGACTATGGATCTCAGGGGAGTCCCTGCCTTTACTGGGAAGGTTCACAGGCACGGCCAGGACCCCTCGGGGGCGGCAATCTCGGGAGCCTCCTGGGCCGTCCTGAAAACGCTCTGAAGACCGAAACGGTGATCAGACCTAAGTCATGCAAGATACCACCGTGTTTCGACCGAAAGAGAGTCTGGCCCTGATCGGCGACACTAGACAAGCGCGCTGCACTTCTCGCAAAGTCGCTACTCGCAAATGGCCTGCATCCGCCGCGGGCGATCCACGATCCATGACATCGAGGCAACATGTACTTTTTTTGTGCGGACGGCTGCGACTGGGCACTTTGCGGGTAGTGGGACGCGCTCGGTGATGCACGTAAGAGCAAACCTGGGCGCCGTGGCCCGGGCGATCCCGAGAGCCTGCGGTGAGGGGCCTGTTCTCCACCGCCGCCGCCATGAGTTGGAGGGGGGGGAGGAGGAGGAGGAGGAGGAGGAGGAGGAGGAGGAGGAGGAGGAGGAGGAGGAGGAGGAGGAGGAGGAGGCCGCGAAGGGGGCCAAATCCAAGCGCGACGGCAGGTGCCCAGGGGGACCCCTGGGGGCCCGCACCAAAGCTCACCCTGGCGAGGGGGGCCACTCTTGCGCGCAGCCGAGCTCTGGTCTCTGGAGCCTGGCAGCCTAGAGGAAGAAAGAATCCCATTGCCATAAATTCTCGGGCATCCGCGTGGATTTCTCGGATCGGCGCTGGACCCCTCATCCCTGGCGCGCAGAGCGCGCCGGGGGACGGTGCTGGAGGCGCCGCCAGGGGATGGGGGCCCCGATCCGAGAAATCAACGCGGACTTCCGAAAGTTTATGTTTGTGTTTATGTTGTTCTCATCGTACTTGAGGACCACATCCGAGAAAACTTCGAGAACCCAGCAAAGCCCCGAAGCAGTGCCTGCCCGACATACTAGCGAGGTGTCGAACGAGCACGGTGAAAACCCTCCAGTTTCGGCATTCCCCCGGTGCTCGAAATTCTTGCTGGTGATCGAGGCTGATGTAGGTTGGAACATCGTAAGCTCATGTCAACGATAACGATAACAACGATACCGATAACGATGACGGTACCGATGACGATAAAGATCACAACGAACACAACGATCACAACGACCACTACGACAACAAAGATAACAACGATCGACAACGATGACAACGATCACAACGATAACAACGATCACATCGATCGAAACGATCGCGACGATCACAACGATCACAACGATCGCTGTTGCATCACACCGATCGTTGTTACCGCTGTTATCGCTGTCGATCGTTGCTCTCGTTGTTAACGTTGTCGTTATCGTTGTTGTCGTTATCCTTGTGAGCGTTGCCGATCGTGATCGTTACTGTTGGTATCGTCGTGATCGCTGTGGTCGCTATCGTTAGCGTTGCGACCGTTGTCGTCGTCATCGTTGTCGTGTTCTTCTTCGACTGGCGGGCGCCTTTTTGCTTCTTCTCGACAGGCAGGGGCAGGCTCAGCGCAGCCGCGTACACTGCCTGCCGGCGGCAGGCCGCTGCCCTCCAGCGGCACCCGCCGGGCCTCGGCCCGAAGACGACTCGCCGCCGGCCCTTTAGGTCTCCGGCGGCCCTAGAAGGCAGAAACAAAAAAACGGGGCCGAGGAGCGAGAGGAGGGAGGGGGGGAGAGAACCGCGAGGGACGACGGACGGCAAGGGAGGAGGGAGCACGCAGGAAGGAGGATGGAGCAGCGTGCTGGGAAGAGAGAGACGACGTCGACGACGACGCCTACGCCCACGACGACGACGACGACGACGACGACGACGACGACGACGACGACGACGACGACGACGACGAGGGAGAGGATAATGACGATGACGAGGAAGAGAAGGAGGTGGAGGACGAGGAGGCAGAGCGTCGCCGAAGAGAAAGGCAAGGAAGGAGGAGATGGAGGAGGACGACAACGCTGACGGCGGCGGCGACGGATACGACGACGGCCACGGAGACGGCGCGGACGAGGACGAGGGCAAAAAAGGATGAGGAATAGGAATGATAAGAAAGAGGATGAGGAGCAGGAGACGGAGGAAGGAGGACGAAGAGAAGGGAAGAGAGGGGGGGAGAAGGACGACGACAGGGGGGACAAGAACGAGGAGGAAGACGAAGAGGAAGAGGAAGAGAAGGAAGGGGAGGAGGAAGGGGGAGGAAGGGAAGAATGAGAACGAGGAGGGGGAGGTCGTCGTCGCACGCAGGCATGACCAGAGGTGTGCTCGGTGCATCAATCAGCCTCGAGCGAACACTGATAAAGACAAAGGAGGAGGAGCGAGGAGAAGGGAGGAGTGCGAGGAAGGGGAGGGCCACCAGGCAGCCCTCCAAAGGCGCGCGACGGCCTCAAAACGACCTGCGCGAGTCCTCGGAGGTAGGCTTAGGTCGGGGATGTCCCCCTGCAGGTGGATTTTGGAAGAGATCGTCCCTGTAACTTTTTGTTTCATCTTCCTCCTGTAGAAGGGACACGCCCGACTTGAGGGCAGGGCGACGGGGAAGGGTTGGATCGGGGATGGACAGAACCCCCTTTAGTAAAACGTGGTTTAGTGAAAACGACCTGGGGCCCAAACCTGGCGGGCGCAAGCCTGAAAAATAACGGCCACGGCGCCCTCTCGAGAACCAAAAACGGACAATTCACTAATCGACGTGTCACTATTGGGGGTTCTGTCCAGCCCTGATTGGAGGGGGGGAAAGGGGGGGGGAGTACAGGGAAGCGGAGGGCCCTCGGACAGACCTCCACAGACGCGCGATGGCCGCCCACAGCCTCCGAGAGAACGCTGGGGAAGGACAAGGGAAGCCGGCCAGAGCTGCTCCGAGGCCTCCGCGGGCCCGCGGCGAGGAGAAAGAGGAGGCAGGGGCACGACGAGGAGGAGGGCCCTCGGGGCAGCCCTCCAAAGGCGCGCGAGGCAGCCTCCAAAACGACCTCCGCGAGCCCTCGGGAGAGGCGAGGGCCACGACAAGGAGGGCCCTCGGGCAGCCCTCCTCAGGCGTGCGACACGGCCTCCAAAAGGGCCTCCGCGAGCCCTCGGAGGGGGGAGGCGGGGGGAGGGGAGGGGAGAGGCGAGGAGTGAGACGAGGAGGAGGGCCCTCGGACAGCCCTCCGCAGACGCGCCATACAGCCTCCAGAACCACCGCCGAGGGCCCTCGGGAAGGCCCTCCGTTAAGCCGATCAAGAGCCGCTCCGGGCCTCTGCTGCCCCGCTCTGCGAGGCCCCGACCCTGGCGGACCTCGGCTCAGAGGTCTCGGCCCCTTCGCCTGTGGGGCAGCGTTTCGGCCTGGATCCCTCTCGAGGGGGGCCGAGAGGCTCCCCCCTTGGATGGAGCCCGGCCCCCTCAAGAGGCAGGGAGGGGCCTCCGAGGGGCCAGCCTCTGAGAAGGCCCCCCCCCCTCTGAGGTGGCTCTCGCTCAGAGGAGGGGGGGCTCAGAGGGGGGCCCTCAGGAAAGGGGCCCCTCTGGGGGGGGGGGGGGGGGGCAGGGCTTCGGACCAGAGCACCGTGCTCGATCGGGCGCTGGGGCCCAGAATACGGCCACGGGAGACCGCAGTCGAGGAGGGGCGTCGGCACTGAGCAACAACAGGAAGCAGCGCGCGAGAGGCCTGGGGAGGCGCGAGGACGGCGAAGAGGCCGGCCAGGCCGAGGGGCCCCATGGCACCAACAAACACCCCGGGCGCAGGCTGGGCCCACGGGCCCGCCTGAGCGGATGCAGCCGTCGTGCCACCATGAGGGACGCTGCCTAAAGAGCGAGGGGGCTTCTCTGGCCACGGCGAGCCTCGGCCACGAAGAGGCTCCACGATCTGGATCTGAGGGAGGCCCCGAGAAAACCGCGGCAACCCCATGTGAGCCCGAGGTGGTCCACTTGTGTCAGCGTCTTGACTGTGAGAAGATACCGGTGCCGCTGCCCCAAAGAACTCGCCCGGGCCGCACTCTCTGACCAGGGTGTCTGGGCGAATCCAGCCGCGGCGCGAGGGGCGGGCAGCGTTAGCGGCACATCTCTGCCACCTCCGACCGCCGAGCACCGCACGTTCCTTCCCCACGGCCGCGAAGGGCGGAAGGGCAGCCGCAGCCAGGCAGGACGCCCGCCAACAGCGAATTCGACTCGTCAGCCGACGAACAACGGCATAACCTTCCCAGCCGCCCTGGGGCAGGCGTCCCCAGTGACAGAACTAAAATATATAACGCCGTTCTTCGCCCGCTAAGCTCAGGCTGGCGGCCCCGGCGGCCGCGGCCGCCGGCACTGCCGGCACCGCTGGCGCCGCCGGCTACGCAGCGCCGCGCACCACCGTGCAGCGCCGCACAGCGACTGCCCAGCGCCGCGCAGCGCCGCGCATCGCCTCGGCCGCTCTGCACAGCGCCAGCGCCCCGACGGCACGGTGTCGCCGTCGGCGCCGCGCGGCGATGCTCGGCGCAGCGGCAGAGGCCCTACTCGGCCGCGGCGGCAGGGGCGGGCCCGTCATCCACCAGCCGGTGCGGCCTGCCCTGGAAGGGCACCATCGGCGAGGCCTCCGCGGAGGAGCGGCGGCCGTCGAGGCCGCCACGCGTGTCCGCGAGGCCCCCTCGTCGCGGTGCGAAGCCGGCCACTGCGCTGGCGCTGGCCCTTGCCAGGCCCATCCCGTGCCCTGGATCGGTGTGTCAGACACACACACACACACACGGACACGCACACACGCACACACACACACACACACTGCTGGATACACATGTGGAACACATGGAACGTATGGAGCCCACTTGCTGGACGCACATGCGGAAGCCTGGCCTACTCGGCCATAGAAGCGCCGAGTGCTGGACAAACAGCTGGCCACAAGCGCCCCGGGCCCCGAAAACCTCCAGAAGACCTCCGAAACACATGCGCCCTGATGTATCCCGCTCTTGCCCAGGCTGGCCGCGCCACGCGAAACGAGATCCCTTGGTATACCGATCGTGGGCCCAGGATGCGCATGGCCGGGACCAGCGTCAGAGCATAGCCGGCACCGTCCGAACCTCGGCTGACCCTGGGCGGTTCCATCTCCAGGTGGCCGGCCGCGCTGAGGCCAGCTCCCAGCTCGTCCAGGGGCATCCGGGACAGCTCCGAGGTCATGAGCTTCCACACCTTGGCGGTACGGTGCCGAGGGTGGGAGCGGGAAGAGGTGGAGGAGGGAGGGGAAGGAGGAGGAAGGAGGGAGGAGAGAGGGAGGGAGGCGGCAGAAGTGAGGGCAGAGGAGGCGGGTGGCGAGAGAAGGCAGGATGGCGGAGGAGAGAGGAAGGCGGGAGAAGACAGGAGGGGGGAGAAGAGGGGGGCTGGAGACCGCGGGGGGAGGGAGGGGAGAGGAGAGAGGCGGCAGGAGGCATGACGGAAGAGGTTGGGGAGGGCAGGAGGAGGAAGGAGGGAAAGGGAGAAAGAGGAGGAGGAAGAGGAGGAAGAGGAGGAGGAGGAGGAGGAGGAGGAGGAGGAGGAGGAGGAGGAGGAGGAGGAGGAGGAGGGGGAGAAGGAGGAGGAGTGAAAGGGAGAAGGAGAAGGAGAAGGAGGAGGAGGAGGGAAAAGGAAAGGGAGAAGGAGGAGGAGGAGAAGGAGGAGGAGGAGGAGGAGGAGGGAGGAGGAGGAAGAAGGAGGAGGGAAATGGAAAAGAAAGGAAAGGGAGAATGAGAAGGAGGGAGGAGGAAGACGATCTCGTCCCTCCTCGCCCTCATGACCGTCCCACCAGCCCGTTGTGCTAAAGTGGTCCAACGATACCTTTCTGTCCTCTTCCAGAAAAATGTATTCCCTTCCGGGAGGTGTACATCCCCCCTCCATGATGTTTTTTCGGGAGGGGTCGAGATCGGGTAAAGCGTTCAAAATAGTCCAAAGATGGCTCCAAGAGGGCGCCCAATGCTCCAAGATGGCCTCCAGGATGGCTCAATATAGCCGACGGTGGTTCAGGATAGCTTCCGACACACCTCCAAGAGGCCCGACGAGGGCCACAAGACGGTTCCAAGTGCTCTCGGAGCCCATTCAGGACCCCTCCAAGAGGTAAACATCCGTCAAAAAATTAAGGAACATCAATGATTCGTTACTTCTCGCATTTTCGCTTCCGATGCGCTTTTGAGGCCTCCAGATGGCACCATGATGGCCCAAAAGAGGCCCTAGAGGGGCCCTAGAGGCCCCGCAGACGGCCCCAAGAGCGCCCAAGAGCGGCCCAAGAGCGCCCCAAGAGGGCCCCAAGAGGCATGTTGATGGCTCCAGGGGGGCGAGGCAAGTCGGGGATCCCCCCCCTGTTGATCGATGGTCCCCAAGATGGCCCCAAGAGGCTTTCCAGGGCCCCCATGGGATCCCCAAGAGGGCTCCACGAGGTCCCCAAGAGGGCCCCAGGAGGGCCCCAAGACCCCCCAAAAAGAGCCCCAAGAGGACCCCAAGATCCCCAAGAGCCCCAAGAGGGCTCCAAGAGCCGATTTTGAGGGCTCTGTCCTCGTCCTCGCTCTTCTTAATTTTTCTTCCTTATGAATAACTCCTCCATGTCGCACCCCGAGGCCAATCGGAACGGCGGGCCCGGCGTTTCGCCTGATTGAATACGCCTTAGCGCTATGTACACTTGTCATGAGATTTGCCATTAGCGGTATGTACACTTGTCATTATCCTTGCAAAAGCTTCACGGATTGAGGGCGGGCGGTTTCCAAATTGTGGTGCTCGCCTGAGCGCCGCGCACACCCCTTCTTAAAATTTGCAAGAGCTTAGCCGATGGAGGGCGGGTCCTCTTCAAATGTTGTTCTGCCCTTGGCGCCGCGCACACTCGTCTTAAAAATGTGCAAGAGCTTCACGGATTGAGGGCGGATCGTTTTCAAAACGTGGTTCCTGCTCGAGCGCCGCACACACTCGACGCAAAAATGTGCAAGGGATTCACGGACTGCGGGCGGATCGTTTTCAAGATGCGGTTCCCGCTTTAACGCCGCGCATATTCACCATGAGAAGCTGCAGGATGTTCACGGGTTCCTATGATTAGCCAACGTATACCAGACATGGTGTTCCGGATCGGTTCAGGATTGTCAGGGCCTTACAATCATGTTGCTTCGCTGTGTTGAAATCCCAGGAATGGCGTGCTGGCACGACGCGGGATCATCAAGACGCACAAGTCAAGTTCACCCGGGGCGCTGAAGTTCCAAGAACGGTGTTTTGGTACGCTCCAGGATCTTCCAACGGTTGTCTCCCAACGGGGCACATCCCTGAGTGGAAATGAACCATGAAGAGGGAGCTCGGAGGGAGGGCCCATGAAGAGGGAGCTCGGAGGGAGGGCTGATTCCAACATCGTTTATGATTCTTGGGCTTAAACTGGTCATCCTGCTTCTCCTCCTCCTCCTCCTCCTCCTCCTCCTCCTCCTCCTCCTCCTCCTCTTCGTCCTCGTCCTTGCCCCCAATCCCTCTTCCTTATAAATAACACCTCTCAGTCGCACCTTGTGGCTGGTCGAAAGGGCGGGCCGAGCGTTTCGCCTGAGACTTCCTCACCCCTTACCATCCTGAAGCTTCCACTTTACAACAGCTTCAAGGATGGAGGGCGGGTGGCTTTCAAAATGTTGTTCTCGCCTGAGCGCAGCGCTCATTCGTCTTAGAAAATGCTTCACGGATCAAGGGCGGGTCGCTTTCAAAATGTGGCTCTCGCCTTTGCGCCGCGCGCAGACGTCTCAATGAATGCAAGAGCTTCACGGCTTGAGGGCGGGCGGTGTTCAACATGCGGCTGTCGCCTTGGCGCCGCGCACACTCGTCTTAACTTACCCGAGACGTGAATCATCTTGTGCACGCGAGGCGAATATTTGCATGAACGCTCCATTCACAAGAACACGCCATATATGCACGATCAGCTCTGCCCTCATCTCCGCCGTGCCTCTCAGGAGCCCACGAAAGTGACAGCAGTTGCGCAGTTCGCTGAGCCTCCCAGGGAGCCACAAGGTCTCTGCTGGGTGCGCATACTCCCCTACTCCGACGTGCCTCCCAGGAGCCCACGAAGATGGCGACAGTTGCGCGGTTCGCAGCCCCCCTAGGAGATACGAGGTCTTGGCTGGTGCTGCGTACTCCCCAACTCCGCTGAGCCTCCCAGGAGCATACGAGAGTGCGACAGTTGCGCAGGTCGCATCCCCTCGGGAAATGCGAGGTCTCGGCTGGGTGCGCGTACTCCCCTACTCCGCCGCGACTCCGAGGAGCCCACGAAGATGGCGACAGTTGCGCAGTTCGCAGCCCCCCAAAGAGCTGCGAAGCCTCGTCTGGGTCCGCGCACTCCCCTGCTCCGCCGTGCCTCACAGGAGCCCACGAAAATGACGACAGTTGCGCAGTTCTCATCTACCCAGGGAACTGCGAGGTCTCGGGTACTCCCGTACTCCTGTGCCTCCCAGAAGCCCACAAAAGTGGCAGCAATTGACCGGTTCGTAGACCCCCAGGGAGCCGCGAGGTATCGTCTACTCCCCTATTCTGTCGTGCCTCCCATGAGCCACGAAAGTAGCGACGGTTGCGCAGTTCGCTGCCACCTAGAAAATTACGAAGTATCGGCTGATCCCCTACTTCGCCGTGCCTCCCAGCTGCCCACGAAGGTGGTGGTTGCCGTTGCGCAGTTCACAGTCACCCAAGGAGCTGCGAGGTGTCGGGTACTCCGCTACTCCGCCGTGCCTCCCCGAAGCCTATGAATGTGGCGATAGTTGCACAGTTCTCAGCCACCAAGGGAGCATCGCAGAAACAGGCAGGGAGGGAGGAGGCAGGAGGAGGCAGGAGGAGAAGAAGGAGAGGAGAGGAAAGGAGGTGGGGTCAACAGTGCTCGATTCAAAACGAAAACCCAACGCAGGAGTGTTGGGCAAAATTGCAAGAACTTCAAGGATGGAGGGCGGTCCGCTTTAAAAATGTGGCTCTCGCCTAGCACCGCGCACATTCGTCTTAAAAGCCTGCAAGAGCTTCACGGATGGAGGGCGGCTCCTGTTCAAAACGTGGTTCTGGCACTAGCACCACGCAAATTCGCACATTGTAGCACTTCCAAGGCTTATCATGGCTGACGTCCCAGAAGTCATGATTTGGCACGATGCCAGAATGTCAGGACGCAACAGTGACGTTGATTCGCGGTGTGGAAGTCCCAGGAATGGCGTTCTGGGGCGATCCAAGATTGGCAAGACGCAACAGTAACGGTGATCTGCCGCGCTGAAATCCAAGGAGTGGTTTTCTGGCGCCATTCTGGATGTTCACACGGTTGTCGTCCGATTCCGCACTACCTCAATGCAAAGGAACCCTTGTAGAGGCCGATGAACACGGAACGTTGGGGGAGCGCGTATTGCAATATAGTTAACGGTTCTTGGGCATGTACTTGTCGTATTCCTGTTCCTGTCCCTCCTCTTCCTCGTCGTCGTGGTCGTCGTCGTCTTCCTCCTCCGTCTATCTTCCTTATAAGTAGCCCATCCCTGTCGCACCCCGAAGCTGGTCGAAAGGGCGGGCCGGGCGTTTGACACGAGACTTCCTCACAAATTGCGAGCTTGGAGGTTAAAACTTGCAACAGCTTCACGGATGGAGGGCAGGTGGTTGTAAAAATGTTTCTCGCGCCGCGGCGCCGCGCACACTCGTCTTAAACTTTGCAAGATTCTCACGGATGGAAAGCGGTCCGTTTTGAAAATGTGTTCTCGAATTAACGCCGCGAACACTCGTCTGCAAAAAAATGCACAGTTTCACGAAATGGGGGGCGGGCGGTTTTCAAAATGTAGTTCTCGCGTTAGCGCCGCGCACATTCGTGTTAAAATGTTTAAAGCCTTTCACGGATGGGGAGGCGGGCGGTTTTCACAATGCGGTTCTCCCCGCTAGCGCCACGAACATTCGTCCCAAAAGTTGGCAGGAGCTTCACGGATGGAGGGCGGCTCCTTTTCAAAACGTGGCTCTCGCCCTAGCGCCGCGCACACTCGTTCTAAGACCTTGCAGCAATGTCAAGGGTTGCCATGGTTGACGTGCAAGAAATTATGTTCTGGTTCGATGTCGAAATGTGAGGGCGCAACGGCGTTGACATCCCAGGACTGGTGTTTTGGCACGGTTCTGGATTTTCCAACGGCTGCCCTTCAACGGGGCAGTCCCCCTGTGAAAGTTAATCCTTGTAGGTGCTTAAAAACACGGCAACATGAGGG